TCCCGTGACTGGAAACGACGAATACAGTACCTTGCCAAGCTGATTCAGTACAAGCCATATCACNAAAAATGGGGGTTGCCAGAAGAGGAGGTTCCGATCCCGTGACTGGAAACGACGAATACAGTACCTTGCCAAGCTAATTCAATAAGATTTATAAAGTCGATGCCTAGTCTACATCAAAGCGCTAGCACCAAAAAACATGCTGCGCATGATTAGGTATGTAGGGCAGGTGGGTATCACAGAGGATGTGCATTTAGCGTTCCAGGCACTACGCAAAGCATACCTCGCGACTTTCCCCCCTCCACTGGTTAAGCAACGTAAGGTACCTCAACGGGTAGTGATTGGTCTTACTAGTGCTCTTGCAGACTCCTTGGGGCTCCGTGTTATGTTCATGCGGGTAAATATTCTAGCGTACATTCCCCCCCAACACCGTGCATTCCGTGACGCTGTACAACGTATTATCCCTTGTTTTAAGTATGGTGACACCCTAGATAGTATGATGTTCAATACCACCAACGTAGCGAGAGATGTAAATCATGGTAAATAAAGATGTATTTGCAAAGACCCCCAATGGAGTAAGTACACGATTGTTGCCAAGGATGGTTTCAAATGTTTGATTACTACAGATAGATGCCGGATGTCTTCAGGATGACAACGCTGCAGCTGTGCTAAACTCACAAGCTGGTTTTAGAACAGAATAAGCTGACGCCTTGAATGACCTGTCTTTCTTTGAATCGCTCATAGACGCCATAGAATCGTACATTGGCGATTTATGTCATGAACTCAAAGTGCCACGCGATGATATTGAGGACTGGGAGGATGCTTTGTACGACGCGATAGAACAAAAAGTGACTGACGCGGACAAGGGGGAGGTTGCTAAGCCTCTTACAGGCCACATAGATTTCGCTGCAGCTAGAAGATCTTTTCAACAATTGCACAAGAAGGTGGTGTTTACGGGAGTCGACAAAGCGGCCAACTGCATCTGTATCACATGCAAGGCGTGCTATATTAGGTAAGCCAAAACAGAACTTGAAGGACCGGGGTATAGGACAGTACACAAAGAGTTGGAGCTGGTGAAACAGACGACCTGGTCACCATTGACCGACAACATAATAAGTTTTTGGTAGATGAAAAGTCGCCCATCCCACAGCAGCAGTACAAAGATGAGGATGGTGACACTCAGTATGAAAACACTGAGAACTTACCCACACGANTCTTTCTTTGAATCGCTCATAGACGCCATAGAATCGTACATTGGCGATTTATGTCATGAACTCAAAGTGCCACGCGATGATATTGAGGACTGGGAGGATGCTGTACGATGCGATAGAACAAAAAGTGACTGACGCGGACAAGGGGGAGGTTGCTAAGCCTCTTACAGGCCACATAGATTTCGCTGCAGCTAGAAGATCTTTTCAACAATTGCACAAGAAGGTGGTGTTTACGGGAGTCGACAAAGCGGCCAACTGCATCTGTATCACATGCAAGGCGTGCTATATTAGGTAAGCCAAAACAGAACTTGAAGGACCGGGGTATAGGACAGTACACAAAGAGTTGGAGCTGGTGAAACAGACGACCTGGTCACCATTGACCGACAACATAATAAGTTTTTGGTAGATGAAAAGTCGCCCATCCCACAGCAGCAGTACAAAGATGAGGATGGTGACACTCAGTATGAAAACACTGAGAACTTACCCACACGATACCTCACTGCTAAACTACATAAGCCGTTGGTAGCGACACGTGGAATCACAGCTTGTTGTGGTACGATAACAGAAGGGGTGGCTAAGGTAGTCAACACAGTCCTGGTTGGTATCCGGACTTGTTTACACACGATCTGGCGTGAAGAATGCGCAAAAGTTGGTATTGCTGCCGCCAAGGAATGTTGGATTACCTCTAGCGGGGAAAGTCTTCTAGAAGTAGCACAGGATATCGATGTTCGCGCACAAATGGAGGGATGTACTGATGCCCATGTTTTCCAAACATTGACTTCGTTGGTATGTACCCTAATATCCCTGTAGTACCATTGAAGGAAAAATCGAGGGAAGCTTTGAAATTGCCGTTTGAACACCAAGCTGAGAGACATGGGTTTAGGTCGATGAAGTTGAAATGGGGTATTGGGCCTGAGAACAAGACACCATTTGTTAGGGACATCGAGTGGTCAAAGGAAAACCCGAGCAACGTAACATCTAGTAGAGGTCGAGCGAATTACATTGGATGGGAACGGGTCTGTAAATGGATAGATTTTATTCTGGATGAAGGATTTGTACAATTTGGGAACGGCATGTACCAACAAGCCTCTGGTATCTTTATGGGAACGGCACCAGCTCCCGAACTAGCGAATATTTTTGCGTTTATGCATGAATTCGATTTTCTGAAGGAAATGGTGGATGAGTATTTAACTGCTACACACGCTGGGACTACATCGTTGTATCCATTTGAATTTATTGAGCAGTACAGCATTGGTACAAAACGGTATATAGATGACATTTTTTCCGGTGCGACATGGTAACCAGACTGAACCAACATTTGAAGATATTATATATAAGGAGGGTAATCAATATGTATGGTGGTATGTACCCGACGATGGTGTTAGATACGAATGGTGATGAGATAGACAACCAACCCCGTTCGCATTACCCAAGAACAGTGTGGGGAATCAGCACACTTTCTGGATATGCAAATGGGGCAAGACATTCCTGGTAAGACTTGTATTGGTATGTATAATAAGCGCCAACATATATATGGCTACACTGAAGCAATATCGGGCATTCCCACATTGGGAAACAGTGTTATCTACTAGGTGTAAAATGTCGACGGTACACTGTCAAATGTGCCGATTTGCTATTAGATGTACTGACGTTCGATTTTTCCAAGCTGCCAAAGCCAGATTGATGGCTGACATGCTTGCACGTTTCTATACGTAATACTTTACACAATTTCATGTATACCTTTTTTCGTACCTCGCCAGTGACTGCAAACATCGTGGGTGTAAATGCACCTATGGTGCGGAATTCATACCGGAAGAAAGTGGAGTTGGGTATGTATTTGGAATCGAATAGATACGAAGTACTTTTTTTGGTAGATTAGCCTACGTGCGATTATCTTTTGCTTTATTGGGCATTGTCCCGTTTCTTTGTTGAAGCAATTCCTGGAGTAGTGTTGTTATGTTGTGTTCATTCATCGTGATGTCTATGTGGAAAATATGAACGCCTGTATGTAATAAATGACATAAAAATCATGTTCAAATTGCTTCTAGCGCTACCAAAATTGTACACACATACTTTAGGAGGAACCTGATAGCTTATAGCGATGCGATCTGTGGGTAACCGCATATTTGACCGTCGAAACTGCAAGGGGGAACACTGAAAATGAAACGTGTCCCTTGCAATTAGGATAATCAATTTCTGTACACCTTTCATAAAAATTCCCATACACCAGGTGACAACGGAAAAACTGGGAATCAAATTCCGATGAGCCAGAAATCTGCACTTCAAAGAGCCAGCCAGCGACATCTGCTGAGAGGAGCACGCATGCAGTCATTCCGGTTTTAGCTCAGCCACCCACCTCTCTTGGATTGCGGAGCTAGCCGGCATTTCGGATCCAGCCGTTCGTTGTGCGATACTAATCATCTCCGATAGGACTTGAGGAGGACGGACTGTACAGCTATAGAGTATACTACTGCACTGCGTCTACTCCTTGTTGCTGCTCTTGGCTGACCCAGGACTTCGAAAAATCCCTACAGATACGAACAAACCCCTCTGTGTGTGGTCGAAGATGGACTGCGTCTCTGTACAAGCCCAACATGCCACCATGCACAACATTCTACTGCTTCCGTTCACCTGTCGGAGTCCTTCCACGTCTACCTGTCCATGACACATGCTGCCACTTGATGCGACAACACCTGGGAACAACACGGACACAGGGAGTATCCCCACACGCGCAACCTCTCATTCCTCCCTTGTCAAACACAAATGATGTAGCATGCATGAACTGATAAACAACTCTGTCTTTACTTATGGTCCGCGCTGCCCACAAATGGGAGAGATAGCCATACCTCCTGCGTACACATGGACGAGAGAGGTGAACACACCCACTGCATTTAACACACACCCACATGTCGGTGATGAAACCTCATCAACCACACGCACGCCTCTATCGGCGACCACGTCATCAGGAGGCAATGATGAGAAAATGTTCTCCCGTGCCCTTTGCACATTTAACGACATGCAACTACACAACATAACCAATATGAGACACACAAGACAGCTACCAAACTGAGTTTCTGAGCCTGTCACCCGCAGGGAAGTTGTCCCTATAGGCTGTCTACGAAATCGTAGACATACAGGTAATTTTCTCTGACGCTATAATTCCATTGTTAATCTGTCTCTGACTCTTTTCTATGATAGAGATGGACTCGTTGTGTCATATTGTGTCACATTTTTTTTTTTTTAACGGTGACACCACCCCCGTGTGCCCGCACATCAGCCGCACACACTGATGTTGTTGCGCCCTGTTTCCCTCCCTGCCGTATGCTATACTCCTTTATGTATGTCCTTTTTATTGCCTTCGGCCTCTGTGCTGTGTTTCTTTTCTTCATGACCTCCCTGCCTACTCTGCTGTATTGGGTACCTTGATCTCGCTTTGCTGTTGCCTTTGTTTTTGTACGTCTGGCTGTCTGCCCATCCGCCGCCTCTTTGCCCTGTTTGCTCCGTTACTCCCATGCCCTGGTGCGCAGCGCCTGGTGCTGGTACGCTACCCTTTGATTTTTTCTTTCGGCGGGTGTGGGAAGCGTCCTCCTATATTTTTCTGTTATTTTTGTTTTGTTTTATTTTGGTCGGTGTCCGAGGGCTCTTTTCTCGAACGGTCGGTGCGATACCTGTTCTTTTCTTTCAATCATTTTGTTTTCTTTTTCCGAGTGGTTTGTACGCTATTTTTGTTTTTTGTTTTCTCGCGGCGTCGTATGTGCCAAGTTTTGAGACCACGGGCTCCCCATTTTTTGTGGACTATAGAGAAACAACAACCTGGGTTTTGAAATTCTGGTCTCGTGTCAAAATTTCGTGCTCGTGTCGAAATTCCTGACACACGTGGGACCGATATAATAAATCACAGAGTTTGTTTACCCTACCTATACCTCGCATGAACAATGCCAGCAGCTGGAGAGGACAGCGTCCCTCGCTGCGCAGCGTAAGCCATTCGCCCAACAGATTATGAGCCAACGTGGTAGGTAAACCACATCGAGACACAATGTCCTCCGTCAACCCTATCCCGAAGGGGTATGCACCGCCGTTCAGCGGAAAGCCGGCACACTACAGCAGTTGGATGTCTCTCCAGCGAGCCATCATGTTCGAAGAAGGCATGGGAGAGATCATGACTGAGGTGGAGACAGCGCCTACGGCACTGACTGGAAGTCCAACCACGGCCGAGAGATCGGCTGATCAGTGATGCACGGAGGAGCGCGTGGATTCCGCTGTTTGCGGCCTACGCCACTTATTTATCGAGTGAGACTGTTTTGGTGATGT